TGAAAGGAAATGCAGAATAGAACCAATGAAAAGTAGAGGCACAATCAGAGAACACTGTATGAATATCACAGGTCTGCGGCTGTTTATTTTCCTACCAGCAAATATAATTATATACAGTATTGCAAGAAAAAAAGTAAACTAAAAAACAACCGGACAGTTTTCGAACCCATGTTGAGTCGGACCCAAATCATGTTGTTAGTGGATACGTAGGGTGGCCAAGGCTGTTGGACCAAGCACCCTCAAGTGAGGCCAAGCTTGGTGCGTTGACAATTTTTTAAAAGCTTTAAGCTTTTTCTAGATTTATTAAAGATACTACCACTCAAGTATTTATCTAATTAATGCCTGAAGCTTTACAGCGAGTTGGATTCTATTATGTTATTTTAGAACTCATTTTATTAATATGGAACCATATTTCCAAAGGAGTGTATTTATTTTCTAAACATAAAAAATTCAACTCTAATAAATTATTTGTTTCATATAATGAGCACGGCAATTTTATTTTTATTTTTTTGTCTGCTCTTATTCAAAGCTTATCAGGGGAAGAAAATTTGATTTCGTTGCTCTTCGTAAGGAGAACTTTCCTAATTCCTGGTATTATCTTATCAATCCGTTTTTGTAAATTTTCCAGTTGCTACAGCCTTTCTACGGCACTGAAAATACATTACGGGCACACCATAGCCCGTGCTATTTGTTCCAAGTAGCTGAATTTAAAACAATACGGCACTGTACTCAGAACGACTCCATAATCCAAATGACGTGCTGAGGCCCAATCTTTGGCGGTTTCAGTGACCCTTATCATAGGCTTGCTTACATGGGTTACGCTAGATCACGTGATCTTTAAAACATGGGTCAACGGATGTGACGCCAGAGCTCTGCTAGGCACTATCTTGTCTAACTGAAAACACATACTACAGACATAAACCTTATTACACAAACATCTTAATTTATATAAAGTAGTCGCTGGTAAATGTGTAAAATCTCTGAGAATCCCTTGGAGGATATAGTTGACAATGGAGTAATCTTCAAAGCTAGTAACAGCTTAACGATAGAAGATAACAGATGAATCACATGAATGTTGGAAAAAACTTTAATGTCAGGGTTGTAAATAGGTGAAATAGGTAAAACAAAGAAGCGCTTGAAGTTAACTCAATACAAAGTCTTCGGCAGGCGGGGGTCCAACCACTTGGTCTGGGCGGTAGAGCGACGGTTTCGCTTGATACAGGTCAGCGTTCAATCCCCGACCGTCCAAGTGGTTGGGCACCAGTCCTTCCCGCCGTCCTATCCCAAATCCTTATCCTGACCCCCCCTTCCAAGTGCTACATAGTCGTAATGGCTTGGTGCTTTGTCCCTGACAATTTCCTTCCTTCCTTCGGCAGGCGGGATTACGAGCTAATGCTCGACTCTGCAAGCACACCTAGCTGAACGCACGCACAAGTGAGAATAAGGTCAAGTGTACGCAAGAAACAATGTCACCAACGACTCTATACTGTGCCAAACTTTGTATTTTCGTAACATCTAATAATTAAATCAGAAAACAAACACGTTAATTATACAACACAGATAAATTATAAATGTAAATGACCGTCGTACACGTAACGATTCAACCCACGACATTATTTTCGATAACAGTTTTATGAAGATTATAAACGTCGCGTCAGAAAATTTTCAAGTGCAATATAAAGTCGCTAGCTGGCAACACAGGCGAGTCTGTGCACAGTTGCCAAATGCCTAAAATACGAAGCCCTTGTGCTGCGTGTTTTGTTTCTGGGTTGATTGTTCGTTCATTGTAGAGTTGTGTTGGTACACCTGTGAGGTGCAGCTCACTCTACAGCCCATCCTCCTGTTCAGTTAGTACTTATAGTAACGATGAGAACCATCGTACATATATTGACGTAAAAAGGCAATTTGACAGTAGAAATCGGTACTATTGAAATTGGTCAAACCGGATAGTTTTTGTACAGATGTTGCAAAGTTAACTTAACCTTCGTAGGCCTAATACACGCTATCTGGGGCCTAATGTACTACGTATATGTAGGAATATGTAAGTTTGGTTTTTAGCTTTATTTTGTCGGACTCTTAGACAGTAAATAGTACCAAATTCAACAATCTAATTGTCCATTACGGCTACGTATATACGATGGTCCCACATTGTTACAAAAAACATTATCTAAACAGGATGATGGGTTGGACAGACAGTGTCTGCGCGCCAAAGAAATTCGAATAGCAGCTACTAATGGGTTCGTACTGTGTATATATGTGTGAACTCGCCAAGATGCGTTTATGAAGGGTTAAGCATAAGCTCTTGGGTCCCCTCTTAGCAGTCAGTTAATTGGTTATGCACCTCATTTTTTTTTATTGTAAGCTATGAAGTCTGTCTCGATCATTTCACTTTTAATGCATTCCACGTATTTACTGATTTGTTTCATTCTAATGTATCTTGCATGTGGTGATCATATCGTATTGTTTTATCTTCAAGTGACGTGAGATTTAATTACTTTAGCATTTACTTGTAATTCGTGTATCTCAATTTCGTGTTTGTGTAATCAGATTATATAATCAGACTGCCGGAAACGCTATGCGTGTTAGTGGCTTTGCAAGAATGTAAAAATATCAGTCTTATGTAATCTCATACACCTTACTTTATTCACTCTCGTGTTCTTGAGGATATCCTCATATTGCACCCAAAATTTGCCAGTGCAGGCTACTGAACGTATTGGTCCTGTATGACTAACCACCCTACGAGAAGGGAACTTTCAATATCACTGCTATCTTATTCATTCTTGTGTTCATGATGATATCCTCATAATGTACCCAGAGCTTGCCAGTGCAGGCTACTTATCACATGCCTTTGTATGACTAACCATCCTGTGTGATGGGGATTTTCAACATTATGTAGCTAGCTTTTTGACACACTGTACTCCCCTTCATATAGTTTAGGGTAGCTGCACAAATGCAGTTGTACCTAAATGTGTTAATAAACAAGGCTTAGTGATATTTAGTGTTACGTACAGCTATTGGAGTTAGTCCTGTGCAACATATACTAACGTGCTGAGCATATCAGATTATAGAAAGAATGGAAGATGCCTAAGTGCCATAGTGATAGTCTTAGAGGTGGTAGTAGTAGTAGTGATAAAACAGTATTATATTAATAGAACGATTATACAAAAAATAATACTTTTCTTTTAATATACCTTTTGTTAACTTTCCGTGAAACCTATTTTCTGTTGACTACATAATTTTAGAAGAAGTTCTTTAAGAAGTCTGCTATTACCGGAGTGTTGACGGAGGCTAACACTTCCCATAATTACAACATAATGTTTATTTACAAATTCCTCCTCAAAGTCGACGTTTGTCTTTCTGAGCTTTGTGTTGGCTGGAATGATAATTGACTCAGGAATTGTTAAACAGCAAAAGTGAGCCAAATACAAAGGTGTCTGTTTTTCTGGCTTTTAGTCGTAATTGTCTTCAGAATTCCTCACAAGAGTTACCCGTGAAGAGGTAAACACCGAAGAAAACGCTTCACTGAGTATTGGTTCAGGGCGGTTATAGCAATGTGTCTTGGACAAGGAAGGGGGAAATAAGAAAAAACAAGGTGAAGAGAATTATTTGGGGAGTTGTGTACGTTCCCCTGGACCGTGATGAGTACTTGGCTCTAGTGTGTTTCTTGTGTAGTCGCGACAGGTGTGGCGGTGTATACCTGGCTCTGGGCCACCCCACCGCCACCCCCCATTATCGCCCCCCACAACAACAGCCAACCCCCCCCCCCCTCCCCTCCTCACAATCACAGACATCCCCTTAAGGACACACAAAAAAAATCACCATCACCACCTGCACAACAATATATTTAGTTTCCATATGATAATATTTATCAAAGATATGTATATTTGTCTTTATATATATATATATATATATATATATATATATATATATATATATATATATATATATATATATATATATATATTGGAGACGTCAGAGTAAAAGAAGCAATAGGAGAAGAGAGGAAAGGAAATAAATAATATAAACATTATGTAAATCGTGAAAACACGAAAGAAATATTAAGTATAAAAGATAAATAATAAGAAAAAGAAAGAGAGGGTGAGAAGGAAGAACAGGTAATGACTGTCAGTGTGCGCGAGAGACGCATCGTAGCAGGTGCAGGAGTGTGATGTAACCTATCCCTCCCTCCCTTCCCCCCCCCCCTACATCACTCTTCCTCCCTCTTCCTACATCACTCTTTCTTCCTCCCCTTACATCACTCTTCTTCCCTTTCTATATTTACCTTCTCTCTTCCTCCGTCATTCCCCTGCCTCCTCACTCCCTTCTCCCTCACTAAACAGCAACAACAGGTGAACACATCAGCAACAACAACAGGTGAACACAACATTAGCAATAACAGGTGAACACAACTGCAGCAGCAATAACAGGTGAACACAAAAGCAGCAACAACAACAGGTGAACACATCAGCAACAGTAGGTGAACACAACAGCAGCAACAACAGGTGAACACAAAAGCAGCAACAACAACAGGTGAACACATCAGCAACAGTAGGTGAACACAACAGCAGCAACAACAGTTGAACACAACAGCAGCAACAACAACAGGTGAACACAACAGCAGCAACAATAACAGGTGAACACAACAGCAGCAGCAATAACAGGTGAACACAACAGCAGCAACAATAACAGGTGAACACAACAGCAGCAACAACAACAGGTGAACACAACAGCAGCAACAATAACAGGTGAACACACCAGCAACAGTAGGTGAACACAACAGCAGCAACAACAGGTGAACACAACAGCAGCAACAACAGGTGAACACAACAGCAGCAACAACAGGTGAACACAACAGCAGCAGCAATAACAGGTGAACACAACAGCAACATCAGATGTATAAACAATAACAGGCGATCGGAGTTAAAGCCTCACAAACCATGGTGAGTGAACTGAGGCTTTTACGGAGTGGCAAATAAAGAGAACAACGGCTGAATACTCACCGTATCGTCCATGCTGCATCAGTAACGCTGCAGGGCCAGGAAAATTAAGTAAAAAAATTAATTAAAGGCAAACAAACAAACTACTAGAATAATTATACTAGAAAAACAGGTGAGAATTATACTGTTGCTGCTACTAGCAAAACGGACGTTATTGATGAAGTAAAACTAATTAAAAATATTATAATACAAATATTATTGTTATTATTATTATTATTAGTAGTAGTAGTACATACTATAACTTTATGAGAAAACAATATGCAATACAGACATTGTATTGCCACCACAAAATCTTTCTGACTGACCGGAATGTATACTTTAGTTCAGAGTGAAAGCGCACATTCCGGTCATGTTCTGGATTAGTATAAAGGTCTGTTATTTTGTAAACAATATTGCAGCACTTTATTTTTGTTTACTGAACATCATGATTGACTTTGGTTCATATGGAGTGTCACTTCTCCTGGCCTATTGACACCGGAAGTGAACAAGCCTATTCCCCCTAGGTGACAGTATTGTGAAGATGTGAGAGAGAGAGAGAGAGAGAGAAAGAGCGTTACAGACGAGGCTACCTCCTCAGTATAAAATATATATTACTTAATCTTCAAAATATAGTGAAAGCTGTCTGAGCTCGTCTCGACAATCACATTATATACCTACGCGACAAATATGTTTCATCTCCTTGGAATTAGGGGGGTGAAAAAAGTAGGCTTGAGGGGGCAGCTTCGCTTAATGATGTTTAGAATCGTGTTTTTTGCGAGATTAGGAAATGTCTTTGGATTTGTAGAGGTGATGGTGGTGGTGGTGGTGAAAGCTTCAGAGCCAGAAATGCCACTGGCACCAGTCACCATCACCAATACCACCACCACCACTATCACTACAACCACCATCAACTTCAGCACCACTATTATCACTGCCACCACCATTAACCTCACCACCACCACCATTGTCATAATCACCATTAACACCGACACTGTCACCTCCACCATCAGAGCTACCACCACAGCCACCCTAGGATGTAGTAGGAATGGTAGACTGGTAACACTGCCACGGCAACACCAGCACTACTGTTGCCAATCCCAGCAGGAATGTCATGTGACACTGGTTAAGGCCAGTGGTACTACAAGACCGCCGCCGGCTCCACCACCTCAACCAGTCCTCCTTACATTTTTTATTGTTATTTTATTATTTTTATTAACACATTTATGCAGCTACGCTAGACTACATGAAGGGGAGAGTATTGTGTCACAAAACTAGCTACGTTATGCTAAAATCCCCATCTCACAGAATGGTTAATTCGCATTTTGACGCATACTTTACTTAAGGGCAAAAATTTTCGTACTAGAAACTGGTAGCGGCTCGTAAAATGGACATACTGTCCCGCTTTCTGTTTTGGGTTCTCTGGTAGGTTAGAATAAGGGCACTTTAGTACGACAGTTTCTTGACGTTGGGGAAATATTAGGAGGACGGGCTGCATCACCAGCACGCCGCCTTCCCCTCGGTCATCTCTTCCCCTCAATTAATTTCTTGTCAACTTCCTGCAGGTGGATCCACGCTCTGCTGTAGTCGCCTCAGCCATAGTTTCACTCCCACCTCAACCTGTTCTTGGCTATGGCGTGGCGCAGTGAATGATATAAGCCTCCCACGATCTGGAGAACCTAGCCCATAGGTCAGGGGGGTTTTCGATAAGCCTAGCAGGTTTAAGGTTTACTCTTCCCCTACACTGGTAAAAAAGATCCCAGTATAGTCAAACAATATATCGCAGTCTCCGCTGGCTCTTAAGAGGATCTCTTGTTCTATTGTTTTCGCCTTTGCCTCATTATGGGTAAACATTGGGTTTAGTGTTCTCGGTAGTTCTCCTCTTGCTCGTGTCCAACAATTTTTTTTTATCTTTATTTAATAAAATATAATATAAATCAAATATACATAAATTTTCCAATGCAATACTACACTACATATACAATAGTATAATTCTCGGTAATCCAACATTCACCAAGTCTCATATTCTACATTATGGGCCGCTAGCATCAATATTAAAAAAAAAAAGTACTACGGGCTCACCATAGCCCGTGCTACTTAGAACTTTGTTCCAGGTAGCAAATCTTTAACAACATCAATACCGATCTTTATGGCTGAATTTTAATTTTCCCTTCAATACCTTTGGTTTTGTGTTGGGCTAAATAAAGGTCTATAACAAGCTCTGGAGGGTTGTTAAGGCCTAACTACCTCTGGAGGGTTATGAAGGCTACCACAACTGCTTAACGATCAACCAACAAGTATACTTTAGTCCAGGACAAACGTAAACTTTTAGTGTACGGTGTACAAGCCGAGAAGTGGCGTACATAGCTTTATACTATTTTTTGGTGTTTTTCCTTTAGTTTTACGTGGTAACGACCTTTTTCTGAATATTTTATATTATTAAATAATCTAGTATATGGTTATTATGTTCGTATATATGTTGTTGGTAAATTTTAAATTTTGCCCCGAGGGGCGAGTTTATTGGGCAGCGCCACTCATCTTGTGAGTTGTTGTTTTAGATTCGCTACTTGGAACAAAAAGTTTCAAGTAGCACGGGCTATGGTGAGCCCGTAGTCGTATATATGTTTTGTGTATGTACTCACCTAGTTGTGCTTGCGGGGGGTTGAGCTTTGGCTCTTTGGTCCCGCCTCTCAACCGTCAATCAACAGGTGTACAGGTTTCTGAGCCTATTGGGCTCTATCATATCTACACTTGAAACTGTGTATGGAGTCAGCCTCCACCACATCGTATACGTACGTGAGTGTATGAGCACATACGGGTGCCTCCAGCACTAGGTGAAAAAGAACATTTTATGTGTCAGTATTCTCCCCTCTGTCTCCCTACACTACTCCCCTCTCAGGCTCTCCACGGCCAAATACCCCGAGACAAGCCCCCCCACACACGCGTACACACTTGGCAACCTCGCCAGCGCCTCCATTCCTGAAGTGGTTGTTGTGAGGTGCGTTGGTTTCCACTGTGGGGGGGGGGCATCAGTGCAGTAGTGTGTGTGTGTGTGTGTGTGTGTGTGTGTGTGTGTGTGTGTGTGTGTGTGTGTGTGTGTGTGTGTGTGTGTGTGTGTGTGGAGGTGGAGGAAGGGAGAAGAGAGAAATGGAAGAGATGCAGACTAGCAGAGAGATGCCCTCTGGTGTTTGTCATTACCTGCTTGAATGGGGTCCTGGGAGTTCTTCTTCTCCCCAAGTAGACTTTTGAAAGTTTGGTCCACCAGGCTGTTGCTTGGAGCGGCCCGCAGGCCCACATACCCACCACAGCTCGGTTGGTCCGGCAATTCTTGAAGAAAACTATCTAGTTTTCTTTCTTGAAGATGTCCACGGTTGTTCCGGTAATATTTCTTATGCTCGCTGGGAGGACGTTGAACAACCGCGGACCTCTGATGTTTATACAGTGTTCTCTGATTGTGCCTATGGCACCGCTGCTCTTCACTGGTTCTATTCTGCATTTTCCTCCATATCGTTCACTCCAGTATGTTGTTATTTTACTGTGTAGATTGGTACCTGGCCCTCCAGTATTTTCATGTGTATATTATTTTATCTCTCTCGTCTCCTTTCTAGTGAGTACATTTGGAGAGCTTTGAGACGATCCAAATAATTTAGGTGCTTTGTCGCGTCTATGTATGCCGTATATGTTCTCTGTACTCCCTCTATTTCAGCAATTTAATTTCATTGCTTGCCACCACACCTTCTCTACCACTGACCACTGGCATATTCATGCCCGTGCCACCTCTTGGGTGGCTTAATCTTCACCACACCCTCCTTACTGGGAAATAACGCGAAGAGTCATTTTAGCAAATTTTCTATTTCGAGGAAAAAGAGTAGGCAGTGAAGAGCTCAAAGTAGACTCGACATTTCACCAATAAAGGCAATAAATTACACCAATTATCTTAAAACAAACCGTTCCCTGTGCCTGGTAACTCCACTACGGGCTCGCCATAGCCCGTGCTACTTGTCCCGCTCCTGTGCCAGGTAAGGTACGGGCTCACCATAGCCCGTGCTACTTGGAACTTGTTCCGAGTACCTGAATCTATAACAACAACAACAACTTAAAACAATAGATACATGATTCAATTCAAGTCTTCTCTCATCGTGGCTTTTTCCACATCATCAGGAATAGGAGAGAGAGGAACCATTCACAGTAATATTCGCTCCAGCGGTCATTCACTTGTCTCTTAACTCGTGTGTGGAACATGTCCTCACATCTAGCAGATATTGATGAAATCAAATCGGCTGAACACATGTAGTTTCTAATTCACTAATGGATCAAACATCACAATGTACCATTATTTATAACAAATTAGTATTAAAGTATACATCTCAATGTTAATTGATATAATAATAGGAAATGTTCAGGTCAGGGTTTAAAATAAGCCGAAAATATCACTTTATACATAGAAAATAAATTAAAACACTGGCATCATTAATCCCGTGGTATCCACTATGTTGATGTGAAAGAGACAGAGAGACAAATAGACATTGACAGACAGGCAGAAGCATCCTCGCGACATTATCCACAAAACAGCAGCAACAGGTCAGGCATATAGGGTATTATGTCTCCTTGGCACACAGACCCTCCTTCACCTGAGAATAGCTAAAACAGGTGCTGTTGTGGGTGGCTGGAGGTGCCACACAACACTCACTGTTCGACCCTGTTCGAACAGTAAGTGTGAAAAGTCCTCGTTTACAATCGAGGACCAGATTGTAAATGTTTCACGGATCATGTTCCAGAGAAAATGAGTAGGATGATTAAGATGATTGATGGGAAGAGAGAGATCTTTGCCTGCACACAAAAATTAAATCATTTACTCCTGTACCCTCCAGTGTAAACAAAACATATATCTGTTTTAATATGTGGATGCCTTATAGAGGCAGCAGGAGCATGGCATGCAACTAGGGCTCTTAATGATCATGTTGCAATGCCTTTCTGGTGAGATACAGCGTTCCCTTAGTACACACACACACAAACAAATACAAATATAAAAGTCATTCGCCTCACCACTGACA